TTGTTTTTTGTTTTTTGGTTTTTTTTTTTTGGTTTTTTGCCTTTAGATTGGGCTGGTTTACTTTTCAATAAGACTCCTTATGTCATGAACTCTGTCCTATCTTTGGACAACTTAAAGTTACAAAAAGTCCATGCTTTCCCTTCCCTCTGAATATTTTTGTCATGTAACATTTTTTCTATGTTTAAATAACTCAAAATCAGACAACTTACTATTTATTTTGTGTAGCTTAGCTGACTTTGTGATGCCAAATTTTCTTGTTCTTCATAAGGAATCAATCTGGGTACTAAAGAATCTGTGTGGTTTATAGTCTACTTCAAACTCTGGGCTAACCTAATAAATCAAGCTATAAATGAAAATTACCAATGGGAGAAAATGGTCCTTTCTATTTAACTTTTCAGGGGAAAAATTCAGTCTGGTAGTTTTTAAGACATTGTGTCTACCTTGCCAACTTTCATTACAAACCCTGGCTAACAGCATGGCCCTAAAAGTGGCTCATTATTAACTATGTGGAGAAGATAAAAGAGAGAGAGAGAGAGAGAGAGAGAGAGAGAGAGAGAGAGAGAGAGATGGGGTCCACATATAGATTAAAACGAGAGAGATGTAAATGCCAGTTAAAAATGAAAACCTAGTAAGAGCCCCTCTAAGGTAGATGCTCATACTGCCCTTCCTGCCAGGCTGTGCCAGGGCAGGGCTGTGCTGCAGACAATCTCATACTCCTAGTACAGACTCTGACTCCTTTTCTGTCTTCCTGGGTTGAGGACAGGGGATTTGTAAGGAGAGTAAGGCTTAGGAGGTCAGACAGGTCAAGGAGAAACAAGACTGGTGTGGCTGGATGAACAACCCTCCGGCACAAAGCCACAAGAGCCTCAGTACTTTAGCTTCTGAAAGATGACCTGACATTGCCAGACGGGAGCAAACCTGAGCCAGAAACTACACCTTGACTGGGAGGATTTCACCCTGGCCAGTTTTCTCTGAAGTTCCATTTTATACAAAGAGCAAGGGCACAGTTATATATGAAACGGACAGGCAGCAGAATGTAGAGCTCAGGTTTCAGGCAAAGGAGGCAACAGAGAGCTCAGTGGAGAAAGGAAACAGGATAGCAGACATTTCCAGACTCTCACGCTGGAAACCCTGCCAGGTACTAGGTTATTTTGGGTGTCACTTGATGAGCAAATCCATCCCAAGAGGGTTCCTTAGGCTACTCTCATGGCCTACTAGACCAGAGCTCTATGCAGTGGATCTATATTCAAAGCTGGAAGCAAGTATAAAGACTCTGTTCATTCTTCTGGGATGCAGTTGCCTCATGTGAGCCAGAAAAGAGAGACACCAGTATGAACTGTATCAGATATAAGGTTTCCCTTTTCTCCAGAAGGGCCCTATGGCTTTGTATCAGCATTCGTTGTTTTCTGAACAGAAAACTCTGATTTCCCTGGGGAACTGATCATTCTCTGGACATTAAATAGGGAGGCAGTGGGCCTGGTCTATTACTAAGGCAATTACAAGTTTGTCTCGTGGGAGGGACCATTTCTATGGCTTACTCAGAGTCTCACCATGCCACCAGCCTTACACGTAGGTAAATCTGTTTGGGAAGTCCAAGGGCTTCTGATTACAAATCATCTTACAGCACTACCATGAGGCTTCCTCTGAACTAAGACTCTCAATGCTGAATGAGAAACAGCTCCAAGACACACGAACACACAACTACTCAGCAGCCACTCCCCAGCAGGCCTTCTATGCACCTTTCGTTCTTAGCCCTTAGTACTTCTGGGTTGTTTAGCACAAGCTCTTGATGGATGCCTCTGTGAAATGTTAAGACTAACATACAGATTCACCACTGACCATTCAGCAAGTTAGAGAAAAAACAGCACACAAAGAAACGGAAACCAGGTCAGAACAAATTCAAACTCTACCGAGTAGGTGCCACTGCTTTTTGACTGGAGAAACCCATTCTTTGACATTTAACTGATTAGAAGTGAGGAGGTTTTTCTCAAGGCTACCACATCACACCCCTGTTTCACCTTGATGTTCATGCTGTGTACAGATGCTGTGTGCTCCCATTTGGTAATGCACTGAAATTTACCCATGTCTACTAATTTGGAACTCAAATTACCATGCCAAAGTGGACACAATCTATTACTGGTGCAAGGCATATTACGTCCTTGATCACAGAGCTATAATCTTTTTCATCTTGAATCCAGATCGATTAAAGATGAAGTAATCTTGTATTAAAACAAAGCTGTCACATCATCCTATTCCATGAATATCACCTTGTCTAGCGTAGAGCACCACATATTCCAAGTGGAAATCCACTTTGCTTTCAGGTGGGCACAGTAGCAACACATAGTAGGTACTTCAATATGGGCTCCTTAGAAAGCAGATGGAGCTTGCCAGTTGTCAAGAAATTGGCACATTCTTCCCATGTGCTTCTAGTTGGCTTCTCGGAAGAGAGGGATGGGGAGCTTTTTACTAATCTCACTGCATCTCATCTAATTCTCAAGCCAACACTCAAAGGATAACAATACAGGAAGTTTGAACGGAGCTATTCTGAGCAGCTTGCAGATAATCAGTGGGTAGTAAGCGCCAGTAGTATTTTTAGTACATTAACTCATGAGTGAAAAAGCTGGAGCTCGTCAACGACTAAATAGCACGGTCCAGGCCACAGAGTGAGTCTTCACTGTTAGTCTTGAAACTAACCGTCTCTTTGACTCATGGGGCAGTGTATTTGCAAGAAAAACTGGGGCACAGTGAGCTAGGTATGTTTGTGTTCACTGGCTATAGGGCTGTTGCTGCTGTGTGTATATGACATTCATGTAGGTACCAGTGCATGCTTACTCTTGTGTGAAGGTCAGAGGTGCCCTTCTCTTTCCGATTTACTTTTTTTAGTGCAAAAAGAAAAATTAGCCTTAACAAAGAAATGGCCAATTGTGTGAAAGGCATCTGAGTAAGGCACCATACTCTTAAATCTTAAGCCATCTGCCTATCTACCTTAGGTTTTGAAAGAAGGCCTCTTACTAAACTCAGACCATTATTTACTCAGATGGCCTGTGGGGCCAACAAGCTTCCAGGATCCTTCTGTCTCTATCTGTCTAGCACTGAGGTTACAGACCTGTCCCTCTCTGTCTAGCTGACCCAAACTTGGGTCTTCATGCCTGCATGGTGAACACTATTGACTGAATCACCTCCCCAGTCTGTGTCAACTACACTTAATCCTTGGGATTATCAGGAACCCATATTCCGTAAGGAACTGTAATGCTTCCATGAGATACAGTGGTAAGGCATTGCTTAATTAGTGATCAATGGACAAGGGCCCAGCCCACTGTGGGTGATGCTATCCCTAGGCTGTTGGTCTTGGGTTCTACAAGAAAGCAAGCTGAACAAGTCATGTCAAGCAAGCCAGTGAGCACCACTCCTCCATGGCATCTGCATCAGCTCCTGCATTCAGGTTCCTGTCTTGTTTGAATTCCTGTCCTGATTCTCTTCCATGATGGACTGCAATGTGGAAGTATAAGCTAATAAACCCTTTCCTCCCCAGTTTGCTTTGACTTGTGGACTGATACCATAAATAAAATGACCCAAGGATGAAGTTAATGAGAAAGTAATCAACCAGAGAGGCACTCAAAATAGGCATGGGAAATGAATTTTAAGATACATAAACTCAATGGGTGTCTAGAGTTGGCCCTGCTCTAAGAGAGCTCCAGCTCTAGTCTCCACTGTGCCCAGCACCACAGTGGTTCCTGCTCCATGTTTTCCCCAAGATTCACCGCTGCATGGCTCCCCAGTGTTAGCTCTCTTGACTTGAGCTGACTCTGCTGTATTTCATCATCAGGAACCAGATGGTCCCATTTATCTGAATCCAAAGCCCACAGGGTTCCGTAGTCTTCAACTCAGGAGAGTGATGTGTCCAGGCTGGCATTGTGTACAGGTGCATTTGCAAGTACAAAGGACCCAATAGGGTGGAATGCTCAACCAGCTTAACAAAAGCTAGGTGGACACTTCATTTTCTCTTCATCAGGAGAAATCCTCAGAGGGAAGAGTCTACTCGAAGACGCCTGGATCTTTTTGATCTGGCTGGCTGAGGTCTGATTAAGACCTGGGTACCTCAAGACCTGGAAATGATGCAGCCAGAAAAACATGGAAGTAATGGAGGTACACCTTGTCCACCACTGAAATGCAGTAAAAACAGAATCTAGTTTTTCTCCTTCACACTCACATTTCCTGAAAACCTGCAGGATTTTGTACTTAGAGCAGGAGCGCATGCTTCCTGAATTATTAATTGATAATTTTCATTGTTGTTGTTGCTTTATTTCCCTGGGTTTAAAAACAATCATTTTGTATTTTTAGCTCACCTACTAGTTTAGCTCATCCTACTAGTAAGTAGATCTCCACAGTTGCTTCCTTTCTGTTTTACTCTAGATTATTTACTGACCATCTCCAAACTACTTTTTTTCTTAACTTATAAAATGATAGGAAAGAGGACAGCTGTCAACACAGTTGGGTCTCCCATGAAGGGACCTATCCTGCAGAAATGAACATCCTGTTAATTCTTCTATTATTAGCCTTTAGATGAAAGTACAGTATAAAAAGATACAGGATTTGTAGCCAGACTTATATTCAGATTTCAATCTTTCTGCCTTTAACTTTCCCGGTTAGCTTCTTCCTGGACAGTTATAAGAAAATGACTCAAAGCGTTAAAGCATTCTCAAGTTCAGATTTTTATAAAGTCAAATGTATCCATTTTATATAAACCTGCAATCAATTCATAATCTGACCCAGGAGTAATAAAAACTATACACCCTCCTCGCCCCCCACATCACTTCTGCTTGAAGCCAGAAATAACCCACCCTTTCTTTATTTAGTGAATGTCACCATATCCTCTGACACCAGCACAAGGGACTGCTGCTGAGGATGGGAAAGAAAGAACTGCTGGTGCACATGATGCTGTGGATGAGGCTCCCAGACAGACGTGCTATAGAACTAAAATAAGACAGAGTCCACACATACTTTATGATCTTTATGTCATAGTTGGGCCAAAATAGCTGAGCAGTAGTTGTCAGGGGCTGAGCACAAAGGACCACAAAATAACATTTTTTGAGCCTGGGAACCTTCCCACGTCTGGAACATGGTGGTGATTCCCCTACAGTAATAAGCACTACCCACAACTCACAGACCTGTGCATGCCAACAATGGATCAGACTGCATACAGATTGCACCTGATTAGAAAAGTATTTCAGAGTTAAGGCTTGAGAATCATATTCAAACTGTAGCTTCTCAGCATTTTGGTGATATGACTACAAGGTACAGAACCTTTCCGCATCTCATTTTCTTGACTTATAAAACAGAGCTAATAACTGAGGAGGCTGCCGGGGAATCGTGGGTAAAATAATGTATCTAATTGTTTGCTGTAAAGCCAGACTGTCAGAGAACACTATAAATGGTTCTTATTGCTACCTTTATCTCTCACTAAAGAGTTAGGAGACTATTTAGGGAAGAGATTTCTAAACAGAGTTGTATGGTTTCTCCTTTAAATGGGAAATAAGAGTTTTATTGGAGAGCTTGTGAAGAACCCTGGCACCTTAGAAAAATGAAGACATATCTTTCACTTCCTCAGCAAAATTTAATTTCCTCTATGAATTCTTCTCAATTCTTTCTCTAAATATTGATGGATGGCTCCGTGGTTGTATGTTTATCTTTCTGGAGCAAATAAGGCCATGATGGATAAACTTGAGTTCCTGGAAAACAGAGGAAAATGTGAACAAATAGATAAATAACATGTAGAACCCACATTCCAGTTCCTACAGTAGCATTTATTCATGTAGACAGTGACCAGCTATTCACACCCAGTACTAATGGTTCCAGGAACTGGAGACTCAGTAGTGACCAACAGAGGCAGGAAGATGTCATCCTCAGGGAACTTGGGTGCTACATTCTGTCAGGATCACTGAGCTAGCTCTCTGTGCCTCACTCCCACAGAAATTCAAATGGCATCTCTGTCTGATGATCACTCAGGAAAAGTCATGCTCACTGGCCCTATGATGTACACGCAGAGGCTCTGGTACTGAGTTTTATATGTACTTCTTTAATAGCTGTTGGTTGATTGATTTTGGTAGAACTGGGAGTTAAACCCAAGGCCTTACATTTACAAGGCAAATGTCCTACAGCTAAGCTACATCCCAAGCGCCTAACTTTTTATTGTGAAATGATTGCTCAGAAAATTTCAGAGAAGAGACAGATGGTCTAGGGCACCCTTCAGCCAGCTGTCTCTAATTGCAAAATTTTATATAAGTCTCATTTATCAAGACTGAGAAATAGATTTTAGTACACTATCATTGCCTGGAAGACAGGCCATATTTAGATTTGAACCCACACTCCTTAATGATTAATCAAAACTCTCTTCAGTCCCTTAACCTTCTAGTACCTTCTTAGTTAAAAAAAAAATTTTTTTTTCATTCTTAAGACTCAAAGCTAGGACCTTTTTATGGCTTGAATGTATTCCCCAAAAGTTCATGAGCAGAAAATTTATGTCAATGTTCTGTTCCTCCAATTCTCTATTCTCTCCTGATGATCAGTTTCTTCCCTAAAATCACTCGATTTCTAGCCAGACTAGCCTAGGAATGGTCCATGACTTCAACTTGTCCCCACAAGACAGCTCCCTGCCCGATGCTCCTCCTCTTACACTGTGTGTTACTGTTAAAGTCCTAATACTGTACCAAACATAGTGGTAGGTGCCTGCAATCCCAACACTTAGCTAAGGTGGGAGTGTGCTAGCCTGGGCTACATAGTGACACCTAGTCTCAAAAAAATAAGTAAAATTTTAACCTTGTATCACACCCAAACTCTGCATCGGTTCTACATCTAGAATGCTTAGTGCAGATCTTCAGCTGACCCCTGGTGTTATTTAACAGATCCCTTTGCTTGTCAGGGTGATCTACTACATCTTATCCCATCATTCTCTGTAACAGTACCACACCCTTTCTCTCCTCATCTTTCTATCCACACTACACAGTCACTGTATCCCCTTAAACAACCAGGTCAAGGTAAAAAGGAATCAAGCTGCTAAAAGTAAGGATGGTGGTGTTGGTCTTCCACTATTTATGGCTCTATGCAGTGTCTTCTCTTCAACAGATTTCACAGTCACCACAGTACTCTAAGAAATTGAAGCTTCTGCCTTGTCAACTTAGATTAGGAATTAAGCTACTGGGCCACCAGGACACATAAGTTATTCTGTATAGAAAACTTTGTTTTGGGGGTTGGAAGGAAGACAGGGTCTCACTGGGAAGCTCTGGCTGGCATGAAACTCACTATGTAGACCAGGCTAGCCTCAAACTCACAGACACTTGCCTCACTGAATCCTACCTGCTAGGACTCAAGGCATGTGCCACCATGAGTGGTTTCATATAAGCCAGCCTGTGGAGAAGACCACAGGGAGGAATAAGGACTCCTGGGCACCAGAACACACTAAAAAAAGTGACAGAACCACTTTTAAAGGGGAACCCAGGCAAATTCCTTAAACATTAATCAATGCCACAAGACTCAGTGATATAAACACACGACGATGTGTCCTCTGCATTCCTGGTCCAAAGGTAAAGGAAGCAACAGTAAGCACTTATTATGGCTTTAATTCACATCACTTCAAAGTAATTTATTTTTCAGTGATAGATATTCAACATAGATGGGTTCAATAGAAGATCAGAGGCCAGGTGACCAGCTGGAGGTCATAAGCATCCAGGGAAGTGCTGTCAAGGCCCTGAATACTGTGAGGCACAGATGCATAGCCAAGGAGGGGCCTAGGGATATTTAGGAACAGAAATCTGCAAGAAGTGAAGAGGATATGGGTATTCAAGATGCATGTTACTCTTCTCAGCATTATAGTTTTGTTGGTAGACCTTGGAAGAGGTTGATATGCAGAACCACGAGTTTGAAATTGAGGCACACTGAGGTTTTCAGAAGATGTACTGACAAGGACCATCACCACCAGGATGGGCATCCAGTGCCTACTTTAAAGACCTCTTATCACTGAACTGCCTGGACTATTCTGCCATATCTGATGCAGCCAACTCCTTCTTACATCTGCAGATTTTCTGCTCCCTGGGATCAAGATGTTCTGGTTGCTCTGGAAACCTCACATCTTCTTGTTACTTCAGTCTCTGCTTAGCCAGTGCTAAGGTTCTACAGGACTGCACTTCAACCTGCTCCCTACTGTGCTCCCAATGCTCTCTAGGAAGGTTCAAAATTCTAAGATTTATCTCCTAATATTTGATAGAATGAGGCTTTATTATAAAAACTTATTATGGACATACTATCTTTTACAGCTATGTATCCAAATTTCTAATTGAGATAGCTGTGTTCTAACTGATATAATTCTCATTTTATGATCGCTGTAATTCTACATGTATGCATACAAACCCACAAGCACACACACACACACACACACACACATATATGTTCGGAAACATGGGAAACTGAGTTAGTCATCAGAACTGTTGCAAATATTCCTGTTGCTCCTCTGGACACATCCTAGAATTCAGCTGCCGTACCCCTTTACTTTTAAAGGAAAGTGTGGTCATTTTCTTGCTTTTAATAATGGAATAGATGTGAAGAGACAGCACATGTGCAATGCCTGGCAGTGTTCAAAGCTATCATATACTTTACTAAGTTTTCCTTTTGACTCTAGGGCCCTGAGAGACTGAACAGAGTTTGGTGCTGATGTGCATGAGGCATGAACACAGGAGAAAAATGAATGTTTGCTGTATAAAGTCAATGAACCTAGAAATTCTAAGCATACCGCTACCCAGCTTCTCCTAACAGATATAGCTATAATAATGTTCTAGCTAATTAAGGGTGCATCCTCAGGCCTTGTCGGGCATAGGTGGGAGAGGAAGTCCTTGGTCCTGTGAAGGCTAGATGCACCAGTGTGGGGAAATTCGAGGGTGAGGAGGTGGGAGTGAGTGGGGGGGCACATCCTCATAGAAGCAGAAGGAGGGGGGATGGAATAGGGGGTTTCTGGGTGGGGGAAATGGGAAAAGGGGATAAAACATGAAATGTAAATAAAATATCCAATTAAAAAAAAGAGTGCATCCTCTTAGGTTTTGAAGCCCCTGGATCATGTAAGTAATACCTGGGAGTGAATGACTTCGTCTACAGAGCTGATGAATATTCGCTATGTTCCTGTCATCCTGGGGTATAAATTCCAGTTCTAGAAGAAGCAGCTGGAGATGCTTGCCTTTGTTTTCATTTTAAAAATGGGAGATCAATAGTTGGCTGAGGACTGTGCTTTCATTTTCAGTTTTAAAACTTGGACTCAATTTAGAGTATACTTTAAACCTCTGTGCATCCTCTGGACTACTAATGGCTACAAACTATTCAGGATACTATTTAAGTGTGAATGTTCAACATTACCTGAAAGATATAATGAAGTGTATGTTCTCTTAGTGGTGGTAAAATAAAAGTATGAAACGTTTATAAGAGCTTAACATTATTGTATTTCTTCTATCATCACTATATAGTAACTAAGTATTACCATGTTATGACAGGTCACTATTGTTGATTTCCTACTAACCTAGGCAACTTTTATAGGATTGACCTAGAAAAAAATGGCAGAATTCTATTTATGTCAAAATGGGTTTTCTAAGAGTTTTTGTATAGTATTACATAATTTTATATACCTGCGTGGATATGTCTATGTTTGTGTATGTGTGTGTGTATGTATGTGTGTGCATAGAAAGGAAAGTAAGAGAGGTTAGACAGGGTTTCACTATATAGTCTAAGATGACCTCAAACTCGCCTACACTTACTGCTGAGGAATAAGATTACGATCTTGAGTCACCATGCCTAGCACACATCTTAAATAAAAGCATTGTGAAAACTTCTTAAGCATTTCAACATTGTGCCTACTGACCTATTGCTACAGAGGGGAATTACAAAGGAGGGCAAACATGCTAAACAACAGAATAGGATACTATGAGTGTCTTCCACTTGCCTGTATTATTCTCCTTAGCTACGTTTTTTGGGGTTTTTTTTGGAAAAATTGAAAGACCCCTTAAAAATTGTGAGCACTTTGAAGAATAGGTGAACTAGGGCCTGTTGGTTCAGACTGCCTTGTATAGTCTGCTCTTCTGTTGCTGTGATGATGATACACTGAGACCAAAGCAACATGAGAAAGGTTACTTGGCTCACACAGCACATGACAGTCCATCACACGGCAGAGCCGTGGCAGGAGCTCAAGGCAGGAGCTGCTTACTGGCTCACTCTCCACAGCTTCCTCATCATGCTTTTTGACATGAACCAGAGCCATCTACCCAGGGATGCCAGAGTCCACAGTGGACTGGACATTCCAACATCAATTACTAATCAAGAAAATTCTCTACGGACAGGCCATAGGCCAGTTGTATAGAGAAAAGTTTTCAACTGAGATTCCTTCTTCCCAGGTGAGTCTAGTTGGTGAAAATGCACCAACACATGGCGGTAACACAACACAGACAAAGTTCCAGGGCTGGTAATTCAGGATCACGGTGTTGCCATGATCAGGTTCTGGTGACCAATTTCTTTCTGACTTTTAAACAGCTGTCATAAAACTGTATACACAAATAGTCTTTCTTTGATGGGTGTGTGGAGACAGAAAGCCTCTTGTCTCTTTAAGCCAACTGATCCAACCACGAAAGCAACATCCCTATGACCTAATCGAAGCCTGAGCACTTCCCACAGGCTCCGTCTCTGCATACCATCACAGCGA